TACTCATTTAAGTTCTCAAATAGGGGTACATTAGTGAGGTTAATACTCATTTAAGTTCTCATATATCTATTTAACAGAAAAGAAATAGGAAACATTTATACCAAGTAAATGATACTGATTTATCACTAGGAACACAAAATTTTGCGTGTTTCTAATATTGTTTTCTTGTTTCTATTTTTTGGAAACTTTAAAAAAATAATAAACATGTACTGCTTTTGGATTAAGAATAACAAAGTTAGTCTTAATGTTTAAACATTCAGTAAAATCTGAAAAGACATACATTTCTTTGAAAAATCAATAAATATCCACATTTCCCTAAATATACATAAAGTTATTACTTAGGCTCACACATACATTTTATCTGCTTGTCTACTTTGTCTCCATAGAGATTTATATTTAAGGAAAGCGGGGCTATATGTAAATTTTATGATTTAATTTCCTAAACAGTACATTTTGTTGCCCAAATGTTGATCAAATAATATAGCAGGCAGAAGAGAACTCAAATCTCACGGGGCCCGCCTAAGAAAGTTTGAAATCATGAGGCACAAAAGGAGCCTCCCAATGGCTAAGGTGTGTAAGCAAGATTCGGGGTCTCATCACCAGCTCGATTTACTCTGCTCCTCCTCTCTTGTGTTCTCTCCTAACTACACGGAAGCACATTTTATAGCTTTAAGAATGTGAAACTATAGGGTTTTACAACCACACCTATGTATGTCAACTCACAATTTCAGAAATTCACATATTTCCAGGATCAGTTTCCTAATAACTGTGTCAAAATACTCATACCTGCCAAAAGAATATGGCTTATAATTGGTACTGTCTCTCTTTAAAGCAAGTCACTTACATGGAAATACATATCTTCACACATTCTAGTTTCGAATAAAATAAATTATGTCTACATAAAAGTGGTTCATTTTAAAATTTATATCTCAAAAGCTTTCTTTCAACCAATGAAGATGGGCAGATCTGCAAAACAAATGTCAGGAAAATCTAAAAATCATGAGAGTCTGCTGCTATAAAATCAAGAAGGCTAAAATCTCAGAACTACTTTTCATTCTGAAGAATACCCTGAGTATGGAATTTTATCTTTAATTTACTTCACATATCAATGTAACACTACATTTCCTATTTTCTCTTTGTGGAAAAAAATTACACACACACACACACACACACACACACACATAAAACCACTAACCCATAGCTCAAAAAAAGCCAATCTGTGTTAATATCAGTGGATACTTCTCAAAATTTAGATGAAACACAGATCAAAACTAAAGATTAATGTATTCAAAAGAAAATGAAGCCTTCTTATGAGGCACGACTTGATATGAATTCACACAAAACCACTAACCCATAGCTCAAAAAAAGCCAATCTGTGTTAATATCAGTGGATACTTCTCAAAATTTAGATGAAACACAGATCAAAAATAAAGATTAATGTATTCAAAAGAAAATGAAGCCTTCTTATGAGGCACGACTTGATATGAATTCTTGCAGCATCTCTTTCTCCAAGATTAATAACTGCAAGTAAGTAACAAAAAGATTTACTATACCTGATTTTTTACACTGGCATATCTTTTCAGGTGTTTTATAAATTCTGGCCGAGAAGTATTTCGTGCAATTATAAGAGCCATACTTCCATTATTTAATCTGAAATTAAATATTTGTATTTGACATTAAAAAGTTTATTAAGAGATTGCATCAGAAATTATTTCACATTGTTTCTTATAACAAATATGAGGGGTCTTCAAAAAGTTCATGGAAACATTCATATGATCTTTTAATTCGATTTTTCTGCAAACTTTTTCACATACTCTTCTATAGTGTTTACTAGAAGTATTGGGCAAGTCATCTACACATTAAATTTACCTAAAATTCTTAAACTATATCTTGCTGCATTATTTTTTAAATGATGCCTCCTTTCAAACTAGTTTTATTGAACCACTGGCTTCCTTCTTAGCAAGCTCTTACATTAGGGCTTTTTTAGAGAACAAACCATCATACATCCTTCCCATGTAGCAAGACGTAATTTTAAGTCCAATGTAATTACTTAGGAGTTCTAAATGTGAAACTATGCATGCTTTTTAAATGATGTATTATGAAATGGTTAATATGTACAAATGGTATAGCAAATAGCTCAACATTTTCTAAAACCTAAAGTGTGATTTAGATATGTATTATGGGCAAAAGGTCTAAGTGACATAGAAAAATAACTAAATCAAAGTGGCCCTTTGATTGATGAAATGGGGTGAATAAACACTGCCACACATGTTCAATTAAATGACTGAACATTTTAATCCTGCATAACTGTTCCATCAGATGTAAGAAACTGAAAATTCAGAGGTGTAATTTAGTGCCAAAACAGCCACTTGCAAATGCATCTAGCTTTAGAAGGCAGTTTGCAGAAATACATGCAAATGACTTCTAGCTTCATTTCAGTGCAAACATGAAGTTATTCCAAGAAGAACAATGACATAAAAAAGAGCTCTTTAAATCTTATGAAAGCTCAGGTTAGAGCTGTAAGGGACCTTAGGGATTTTCTTGTCATTCACTTATACTGTATAGAAGAAAGAGACAACCCCAGGTTAAGTGATTTGTTCAAAAGCACACAGAGAATAACAAAATGATCATCAGCACCAGAGCTGTTAATTAGTTACCAGGGCCCAATACTACCCATCATGCCAGCTCTTCCCAATCAAAAATAAACAGCACCAAAATGATCAGGGTAATGTTACCATGTGGCTTTTATTTTTTTTAATTGTGTAATTTTATAAACATGAAAAGCATTACCTATGTCTGCTTTTTAATATTTACCAGTAATTGAAACACACTCTATGTGCCAGGCACTGTTATAAATGTTTCACATATATTAATGCATTTAATATTAGAATACTTAAAAAATAAGAATAGTAGTTTATTTCAGCCATTTGCACTGAGGTATTTTGAAGTAAATTATAATTTACTGAGGGGGTGGAAAAAAAGCTGAAAGTGGAATTTTCTGTTCAATTTTCCTGAACCGTTCGGAAGCTACATCTCTGAAAATCTCTGTTAAACTGACATCCAGTCGAAGGGTAGTTACAAAATGGTAGTTGAGATGATGTAAATGTTCCCAACACAAAGAGGTGACAAATGTTTAAGGTGATGGATCTACTAAGCACTGTGAAATGATCGTTGTCCAAGTATTAATGTACTGAAACATTGTATTATACTCCAAAATATATACAATTATTATGGGCCAATTAATAAAAATAAATTAAAAAGAGAAATATAGAATAAAGGTTACCAGAGGCAGAGAAAGAGAGGGGGGTAGCGGGGTACAGAGAAAGGTTGGTAGACTGGTACAAAGTTATAGTTAAACAGGAAGAATAAATTCTGATGCTCTAGGGTGGCAATAGCTAAGATATTATGTTGCATATTTCAAGATAGCCAGATAAGAGGATCTTGAAGGCTATAACCACAAAGAGATGATAAATGTTTGGATGATAGATATGCTAACTATTCTGACTGGGTCATTATACAATATATGCATGTATTGAAACAACAAACTGTACCCCATAAACATGTATAATGAAAAAAACACTTTTAAATGGCATGTTTTGATTACAATCCATGAAGAAATCTCTAATTAGCCATTGTTCTCTGAAAAACTCATCAATACTGATTAAACCTGGAGAGTCAGCAGTGGAATTCTAGGCAAGCTGAACATTTATGGAGCAGCTTTAAAGGAGGTATGAATCAGTTGCTCCCACAAGAGCAAGACTACCTCCCATGAAGGTCCTTGAGCGAGCAGTGTTAGATAAACATTGTCTCAAGTCCTGCCCACCCTAGCTCTCCAGTCAGCTAGCCACATCTTCTTGTTTAGTGGGGGAAACAACATTAGGAAAGTGCACAGCTCTCTAGGATTTCTGAGGGTGTGGGGAAGAAAGAACTGGGCTCAATTTCTAAATCACACAAGTTTCAAAATAATCCTTTCAAGTTTCAGCACTAGATATAATTAACGAGGACCTTGCCATCTGGGTTTTTAATATCAAAGTTTGTAGTTTCTCTTTTTTCTTTCTTTACTTTGAATGTTTTCCTACTATTACCTTCCTATCAATTGCCAAGGAAGTGAGGACCTTGCCATCTGGGTTTTTAATATCAAAGTTTGTAGTTTCTGTTTTTTCTTTCTTTACTTTGAATGTTTTCCTACTATTACCTTCCTATCAATTGCCAAGGAAGAAATTTAAAATCTATTCCTTTTTCTAGCTGTTAATCATTTTGGTTAAATATTTTGCAGGGAAGTTGAAACTAATCATTAGTTTGCTACTACTCAAATCATTAATCAAATGTGGACAGTAGATTCATATGTACACTGTTCACATTAAACAGAACTGAAATTTTTCCTTTGACTAAAGGTATCAAATATACACAAATGTGTGCTTTTCATGCTAAGGATATTTATGTTTGCATTAAAATAGAAAAGCAGAGACATTCATAAGAAATTTAATATCATGTTCTCAACAACTAGTAAATAAACATAAATGTATAAAGCAAGCAAAGGAGGCATAAAATAAAATTATGTCAATAAAACTCAGGGAATATTATTTTTAGCCTCAGTGAGTTCAACAGTTGTTCTTAACCTACAGTAATGACAAATCCCTTAGAATATCTGGTATTATACAAAGAGAGACTACCTCTTAATAAGATTCTAACTAGCCAAGAATTAGGTGGGTATTATGAAAGAAAAAATTGAGATTATAAGAAAAGTATCAATGATTCAATAAAAACGCTTACTAACCTGGTATTAGGTGCCAAGCCTCTCGGTGCTACCGAACACAGGCAAGGAATTGCCATAATGCTGACATTCAAGAACTGACCTTGGATCATTTGCCATTGATCA